GAATATATGAATGATCTCAGTAAAAAGTCACAGCAGGTATATTTTAGAACTCAACACAAAAAGGAATAGGAAATATTTAAAGCAAAAAGTAGGTCCCTATTCACTTTTTATAAATTTTTGTTTAAATTAGAAAGAATCTTATTTTACATATCAATCCCAGTTCCCTCTGCCTCCCATTCACCCACATCCCCCACTGATCCCCATATCATCCCCCATCCACTCCCCAAGGAGCCTGAGGCCTTTTATGAGAGATCATCAAAATCTGTCACATCATTTGGGGCAGAGCCTAGGCTCTCCTCTGTGTATCTAGGCTGAGAGATTATGGAGATCCCTATTCATAATATTTTGGGGGTTCACATAATCCTAAACTGTCTGATGTAAACTGATAATATGAAGGGATTCAGCTCCATAATCCCATCTATACATCACACCAGACTCAAATCATCAACTTGAATTTATTTCATTTTGTTTTACTGAGTTTCTGTTCTTTTAAATTCGGTGTGAAAGAAAGCTACAAACATATGGTTTACTAAATGCTTATCATCTTTATTATTACAGTATGAAGTTTAAAATAAGCATTATATATTAAAATAATTGGCATTTATAAGTCACCAAGGAAAGTTTAATAATAGCTACATTTTCTTCCTAAGGGAAATCCACCTTCTCAATTCTATTCTATTTCTTTAATTGGTTTATATAAATATCTTTCAAGAAAAATATTTAATACTAAACAATTCTTCATGACAGAAAGTGTGAAGTGAAGCAGTAGGACCTTCTGTAACTGCAAGTTTTTTTGAAACGGATATTGGGACCATATACAAAGATAAAATCTCTTGCTATCTTCGGGATTTCTGTATGTAATTATTTTCCAGACATTTTAGTCTGAAGATAAGTTTACTTTGATAAAAAAAAAATGTAAGAGGGATGTTTGGCATAGACTTAGGCTTTACCAAGTGTCACAGATTAATGCCCATTCACAAACCCAACCATTCTGCTGCAAATAGTGACAGATAAGAACATAAATTATGAAATGTGAGAAATTGCAAATTCATTCATTATCATTGCTTCATTTCTGTAAATGAATTTTGTGTGAATATGTGCAC